CATTAAACTCTTTCTAGTTTTCATGCAGAGGTAGGAATTTTTACCTGCTTTTATACTTTTCTGGTCAATTCTACTGAAAACTGAAGACAGGAATTTGATTTCTAGTACGATCTCACCAAAATAACATTTTTTTTTTGAGTCTACTGATCATTTTATTTTTTGTGTATGGGAAACTTCATCAGGAATATGTGCAACTACAATGAAAATAATTCACTTCAATCTCCAAATGGCTTCCCTTGAGGAGATCACAATCTCATAGCAAAACTTGCAGTATGATTTGCCAAAACGTTTAAGAAACTGTATAGCTGACCCTTGAACAACGGGGGTTTAGGTGCACCAGTTCCTCTCACCCCTGCATAGTCAAAAATCTATGTATAACTTTTGACTCCCCCCAAATTTAACTGCTAATAGCCCACTGGTGACCAGCAAACTTACTGATAACATACATTTGTATGTTATATGTATTATACACTGTATTTTTACAATAAAGCTGGAGAAAAAAATATTAGGAAAATCGTAAGGAAGAAAAAATATATTTACAGTGCCGTACTGTAAAAATCCACATATAAGGAGACCACACAGTTCAAAACCATGTTGTTCAAGGGGTCAACTGTAGTTCACTTCTACAAAGTTAAACTCTTTCTACATGATGGAAAAATTACTGATAGGATATAATGAATTGAATTAGTATTCTTTTAATTTTCAAAGGGCTTTTACATCTTTTATCACATTTATTTTCACAACAGCATTACAACATCATCTGGTAGATAGGATACATAATAAAAAGCACATTTTCAGATGAAAAGCCTATGATCCAGAGATAACTTACATAAGAATTCTGCCAAGCAGTGGCAAAGCAAGGACAGAAAGGAGTCATTTAATTAAGTAAGATAAGACTCAGGATATTTACTTAATTTCTAATGATTTCAAATAACATAAATAAACTCCTCTCACTCCAAACTTAGTTGCAGCCATTCATTCAACTCATTCCTGTATCAGATTCCTTACAGACAGGTTTGATTCTTGATATGTTGGCCCCACAAGATAAGGTTTACAAGGTACATAAGATAGACCACTGAAAGAAAATACAACACTATTTCTCTTTGAAAGAGAAAATTGACCTTACTTTAGAGGACATTAGAATACTGTCTGCCCAGGAACCAAACTCATTATGGCAGATTAAAGATGGCAGAAAATTCTTTAATTCTCTTCCCATCAAAAAAAGGGGGCCCATGCCCCTTCTCTTTGAATCTGGGTACTCTCTGTGCTTTGACTAACAGAAAGAGCAGAAATGGCCCTGGCAAAACCTTAAGAAACTGGTAGTTTCCATTTCTGGTCTTTTGAACCACTCTTTCTAAGCACCCATGTAAGTATGAATACCCTGAAACAACCAAGCTGGAGAGGTCCCGTGTAGACACTCTAATCAACAGTCCCAGCTGAACCTAGTTTTCCAGCCATTTCCACCAGACACCAAACACATGATTCTTCAGACCAGACCAGGCACCAGCCCACTACCAACAAACAGCTCCAGATGACACCACATGGAACATAAAAATCTCCTAGCCAAGCTCTGCCCCCAAATCATCATCTAGCAATGAAACGATTGTTATTTTAAACCACTGAGATAAGTTGTCATGCAGCAGAAAATCATTGAAATACTTGTCATCCTATTTGAAGAAAGTCTGACTATAGATGAAAGGCAGGGCTCCACTTCCCAACACAGAAAAGTCAAAGTAGAAAATACTTTTTCACATCCTTGGTGACTGAAATGCAAGTGTGTGACCTGAGTTAGTCAAACAGGAGCCTAAGTTCAAGACTCTGAACCATGAAAAGGAGTGACACAAAGGAGAGGTAAGGTTAAAGGAAATTCAGAATAACTGCAACAAATCAAAAAGTCATTTCATGCAAAAGACCATGAATAGCCAAGAAAATGTTGAGGAACAGTAATAAGGTGGGGAGCCTTGCCTTTTCAATATCAAGACTTTTCATTAAGGCATAGTAATTAGGATAGTGTGGCTTTGGCTCAGAAATAGACACTGAGACCAATGGAACAGAATACAGAAACTGGAAGAAGAACATGCATGTATGGAAACTCTCCTATATGACATAAGAGGATTTCTAAATTAATGATGAATAAACAGGGCTGAGAAAATTGTCTATGTCAAAAAATAAATAACATTGAATCTTTACCTCAAGCATATGCTGCAATCAATTTTAATTACATTAAAGACACAAATAATAGTTGAAATTGAAAACATTTAGAAGGAAATACAGGAGAATCTTTTTTTACCTCAGGGTAGGGAATAATTTATTAAATTTATTCAAAATAATAATCAGAAATAATGAAAATTAAACTATAACAAAATTAGCAATTTACCGTCATCAAAGTCCATAAATAAAAGGACACACTATCGACTGAGAAAGAGATCTGTATATAACTGACAAAGGATTAGTATCTAGCATATATACAGAATTTTTCAAATTAAAAAAAAAGACAACTCAAAAAAATACTGCCAAAATAAACGAGCAAGAAATGAACAACAACAAACAGGAATGAACAGTAAATACTTGAATCCATGGTAAACTTCAAAAGCAAAGAAGAAAATGCAAATTTAAACCACAGTGGGATGCTATTTTACACAGATTACATTGGAAATATCAAAAGTTTGACAAAAATCAAGTGCTAGAAAAGATATTAGCAACTTGCTCCTTGAAACACTTGTAGGGGAAGAGAAAATTGTTATTCTCACTTTAGAGAGGATTTGGACAACATCTAGTAAAAGTTAAGGCATTTACCTTAAAACCCAACAATTCCCTCCCTGTAAATACCTTATAAAAACTCTTTATATGTACATTAAAAATAAGTAGAAATATATTAATAGCAAGAAAACAGAAATCATTTAAATACAAATCAAGAGAAAACACAAACTGTGAGATATTAATATAACATTATTACTCAACAGTGAAAATGAAGGTATGAGACCTATACAAGGGAACACAGATTATCATAAATACAACACTAAATTAAAAAGCAAATTGCAGGGGTACCTGGGAGGCAGAGTCAGTTAAGTGTTGGACTCTTGATTTTAGCTCAGGTTATGATCTCAAGGTCATGAGATTGAGCCCTGCATTGGGCTCCGTGCTCAGTGCAGAGTCTGCTTGAGATTCTCTCTCCCTCTTCTTCCCCCTCTGCCCTTCACCCCTGCACTCTTTCTCTCTAAAATAAATAAATAAATCTTTTAAAAATAAATAAGTAATAAAAAGCAAGTTGCAGAAAAACATGTAGAGTATAATACCACTCAAAAACTTTTTTTAAAAAGCAAAACTGAACTACATATACAGACAAACACAGTAAATCTATTTTGGAGCAAGGAAAAATAAACAGCAAATTTCAAATAGTTATTACATAATGGAGCAGGATGAGGGATTTTTTTTCTATTAATGATCTATTAATATGGTGTATGATGTTAATGGATTTCCTAATACTGAATGATATAAGCATATCATTATTTTCTTAAATAGTATTATATTCTTAGTGTAGTATTAGATTATGCTTGCTAATATTTAGTGTTTTGCATTATTCATTAGTGATCTTGACTTAAAAATTTCTTTATGTGTGTATGTACTATATTAAATTTAGATGTCAATGCTTTATAAGAAGAATTTGGAAGTTTCCCATCAATTTCTATAAATTTGAACAAAAACAGCACTGAGACTGAGTTTGGTAAAATTCTACTGTGAAACTAACTTAGTATCTTGATTTTATGTGAGGTAATCTCTTGATAACTTTATTTCTTTAGAATTTCTAAACTGGCTTCTGAGTCCAATTTTGACAAAATTCTATTATCCTTGAAACTTAAGCATCTAGGTTATCATAAAAGCATGAAAAACAAAAAACTCTGAAAAACTTTAATCTTTTAATTTTTTAAAAAAAATTACTATTTCAATATATTCCCCTTATCACCTCCTTATCTGTGTATATAGTTTTTCTCATATTTTCCCTTGATAAAGTTAGCTGATTTTTTTATTAATTTTTCTCAAAAAGAAAATTTTGGTAAACTAATTAGAACTTAGATCTTCTGTTCTTCAATGCCTCATTAATTTTTGCTTTTATCTTTGTTAGTTCTCTTTCTTTGGCTTTTATTTTGTTGGGTTTTTTCCTAACTTTTTCAGCTGTGAATTTCATTCATTTATTTTCACTATTTTACTTTTACTGATAAAAGTATTTAGCTCTATGAAGTTTCCCCTACCTGCTTTAAATGTATTCCATAAATTTTATTTTATTTTATTTTATTTTATATTTTAGAGAGAGAGCATGAGCGGGCGGGGGGGAGGGGGGAGGAGAATGGGAGAGGGAGAAAGAGAATCTCAAGCAGGCTCCACGGTCAGTGCACAGACCAACATAGGGTTCGATCCCATGACCAGGAGATCATAACCTGAGCTGAAACCGAGAGTCTGTTGCTTAACCATCTGAGCCACCCAGGCACCCCTCCATAAAATTTTAATATATACTATTCTAATGATTAGTACTTCTTATAGATTCCATAATTTCTGTTCGTATTTTTTCATTTCACCCAAGAGTTTAATAGAAGGTTTTGTAATTATCAGTTTTAACCTTGGTGCTTCTGTCTCCTCTTCTCTTTTATGTACTTGGCTGGAGGGGGAGGAGGCAGGAATTAGGATACTGCTCACTCTCCAAAAGGCTTATGGCAGGGGCTTAAGTTGAACATACTGCTGAGAGTTGGGGTAAGGTGGTCCCCCTTAGCTGTGGGTGATGTGATCCAAGACCCCACTGGGTGCCTGAAACCATGATAGTACCAAACTCTGGTTTTTTTTCCTGTATATACATACCTATGACAAATTTGAATTTATAAATTAGGCATAGCAAGAGATTAATAATAACAAATAATAAATTAGAACTGTGACCATATACTGTAATCAAAGTTATGTGAACATGGTCTGTCTCTCAAAATGTCTTATTGTACTGTACTCACCCTTCTCGTGATGATATGAGACAATAAAATGCCTATGTGAGGAGATGGAGCATGGAGAATGACACAGATGCCATGACGTAGCTGACCATCAGTACTGACCCTCTGATCACATGTCAGAGGGAAGATCATCTGCATCCCGACTGCCGTTGACCACAACCAAAACCTGAGAAAGCAAAACCATAGACAAGGGCGACTACTGTATATTTTTCTACTTAAAAGCAGTTAAAGTGGCAATGTTATTTTTCTTCTGGTTAGGCTGACATTTTGGGTTATGTGGGCTATATTTGTTTCTCTTGTTGATCAGTACAGTTTTTTGGAGAGATTCAAACTTAATGACAACCATTTTCCTAGGCTACCTGGAAGTCTCCACCATTGCTTTTAACCTAAACATTTCATTCCTTTGAACCAAAATTTTAATATTTAACATTTAATTAATCTGTCTTTAAAGTTTCTTGTTTCTCCTATCTTTTTCTTTTCCCCGGAAACAAAATGTAATGTCCAATCTTAAAGCTATCACAGGTCAAAGAAACTCATGAATTATCTAGTCCAGCCTAAAACTACCACAGTTATCATTTCTACAACTGATCCACAAAAGGACAGGAGGGAGATGGCTATTCAGGCTCTGGTTTCTTATTTTCAAATTTTCAAGACAACATATGCAAAATTTAGAAAGTTATACATATTTTGATTTTTGTTTTAGAGTTTTTTTCAGTGAAAAATATAGTCCTAGGAATTTTTGCCCATTGGTCTCATCTCAACCCGCAGCGTGAATACCCAAGCATACATGTGTACCCCAGAGAACACAGGATGACACAGAATAAATGCTCGTCTCCAAATATAGGAAGGGAACGAAGAAAAAAACATTATTTTGCATTATACCAATACAAACTTATAAAGTAGAATGCAATATTTGGATAGTATTTTTAAATGAAATGTGGGTTCTCAAAGAAATGTGACAAGTATCATTAAGAGTACGTTAGTGGAAAATCTGAGAAGCACTTCTCATCTAGAGTAACAGAAAAAATCATGTGTCTTGTATAGAGAGATTGTACATATAGCCTCTAGGGCTTTCATGTCCCTGTGAATTTTCTGTTCATAATCAGCATTCTTATGTTCTCATATTGTTCTCTACATGAAACAGTTTTCACAAGCTCAACTATCCCAGTCTTATTTTTCTATTTACTTTCTATTTGCAATAAAATAAAATTCCTAGAGGAGTTACAACACTCTAGGTATCACCAGATATTCTTTTTTTTTTTTTCACCAGATATTCTTACATGATCTGAACTTTATGTATTCTTTTATATGTGCAGTCTAACATTTAATTAGGATTGTTTTTTAACTCTTGAATACTATGTTTGGTTCTTACGGCATTTGGAACTCCTAGGTATTTCTGATATGCATTGTTCTGTGTGTAAATATGTGTATAAATCAGTGTACCTACATATTTTATATAGATATTACATACATACCTAAAATATACAACTAATTTCTAGTTAGTTATAATATTAAATTTCATATTTGTCCACTTACATTTTACTTTGTCAATTTCAATTCCTTTGTCTAACTATTGAGATAATTTTGAATCTTGAATCTAAAAACCAGGGGTGCAGATGGGGGTGGAGATAAGGGTGGTTAGGGGTAAAAGTACTTGCATTTTTTTGAGTATAAGACCTAAAGCTACCCAAGATACTTACCAAAAAAAATTTCTTTAAACTAGCATTATAGATTGCCCCTACAATGCAAATAGGTTTCCCATAGGTTAAAAAAACACACTTTTGAAGTATTTATTTAATCCTCTGCTTTAAAATTATGGTGAACAGAATATGCCTGGATATAATTTCAGTGGCATTCAGCAAGAGAACCCCTCCTCCAGACATCAATCTCTATGATAAAACTATTACTCAGTTGCTGAGTTATATATGAAACCCCCTCTATTACTCTCCATTGCACATTTCTCCATCTGGTCCACAAGAATATTCTAATATACTTTGCTGACATGACATGGTGTTTTGTTTTGTTTTTTAATTTGGTAGACTTTGATGGATGCTCATTAACTAAGACATGGCCTCTCCACATGACTTTCTTATGGAGAAAGGAAGGAAAGAAGGAATGAGAGAGAGAGAAGGGAAGGAGGGAGGGAGGGGGGAAGGAAGGAAGGAAGAAAAGAGGGAAGGAGGGAGGGAATAAAGAGAAGGAAGGAGGAGAGGGAAGAAAAGAAGAAAGAAAGGAAGGGGAGAGAAAGAGAAAGTAGGGAAGGAGGAAAGGGGTAGGAAAAACAGGAAGGTAGAAAGAAGGGAGGGGGAGGGGAAGGGAAATATAGCTTCAGCATAAACCTTAGTGAATAGTTTGAAGTTGGGATCTCAAAGTAAAGCAATTGGCTTTAAATGGATGCTAGGAAGAACAAGAAAATTTCTCTCTAGTCAACAACTATGAAAAATTTGGTCAATAGGAAATCAATAATAACTTTCTTCTCCAAAAATAATAGTGCTTGAGACAAGGGCTTAATTGATAATGTTAAAAGCAAATATAATATCACTGAGAAAAAAATTAAAAGTTTTTCTAAAGAATTAAAATACAAAGAGCACCAAGAATCTAGTTATGATATATACAAAGTCATCACGAAAAATTTCTCCTGACATCAAAACGAGAAAGAAGGCAGGAAGGAGAAACAAAGTACTAAAAAACAGATGGAAGAAATAGAAAAATGATAGACTTAAATTCAACAATATTTGCATTATATATAAACGGACTACACAGTCCAAGTAAAGACAGAGATTGTCAGGCTGAATTACGGAAAAGGACAACTACATTCTCTTTACAAGAGATACATTATTAAATATGTATCACAGATATGAAATACATAGGTTGACAACGAAAGAATAGAAAAGTCTATAACCACGCAATCAATAATCATAAAGTATGGCTATATTACTATCAGGCCAAGGACACCTCAAGAATATGAAATATTATCAAAAGTCAAAGTCAGGAAGACATAAAAATCGAAGCACAGTATGAATGCACCTAACACCATAACTTCAAAATACTCCAGACCAGATGCTTTCCGACACCTGATTTTCTGTTAGGGAATACAGAATACTCAATGTAGGAGCTTTTCTTTCCAGCAGATTTTTATTTAGTATTAATATATATCTTAACATTAAATATCCCTGGGAAAGTTCCTCAGCCATCGTTAATAATAGTAATGATCAGGATAGCAAGAGCAACAACTACTACTAGTGTTTATATGCTCCCTATATTCCAGATACTATGCCAAGAAATTTACCTATCTTGTCTATGAAGATGTTATTTTTTTTTCCTGTTTCAAAGATGAGGAAAGTAAAGATTATAAAGAGGTGAAAGGATTTTTAAATAGTCATATTACTAGCAGATGGATGGGCTACAATTCTTCACTGCTCACACTGACATCTTAAAGTGAATTATTCTAATGAGCCAACAGGTTTTTCTCTTTCTAATAGCTACTTAAATAACTAGACATTTGATTTGAGATAGGGAAAAAAGTTAAGAATGGGAGCTTTGGAAGAGAGCAGACCAAATGAAGAAAATATCAGAGGGTATGGATAGAAGTCCATGAATTTCTGGGAATAAGGGGAAGTGAATCATACTGGTGGTACAGACATAGGTGGGAATCACCCCACATTTAGATAGCAAGCAATATTGATATGGTAGCATCTTTAGTCACTGATTACTGCCTGAGATTTTCCTTAATATATATGTATCATTTTAAGATGGATGGATGGAAGGAAGGAAGGAAGGAAGGAAAAAAGAGAGAGAAAGACCTTCCTTTAACACTGAATTGAGGGAATTATGATTAGTTGAGTGTATGGATATGTGCATTTATTGCCACCTTCTCCCAAACCTCACTAAAATGACAAAAGTAAGATTTTTAAAAAATGTTTAAAACCCTCCTGGACAAAGAGAATGAGAAGGAGACAACAGCAAACAAGAAATGTCAACTAATTTTGTAAAGATGGAAAGAGAATACAGGATTGATGTCAACTTAAATCAGAGCAAAGGAAGCACAAACCTATGGGCCCCCAGAGGGTAATATCAATGAGAAGCAAATTGGTTTATCCCTGAAGAACCTTTAAAAGGTTCAGGAATTGGAAAATAAGGTATTACACAACCTGAAGGTCAAGTTTGGAGGTAAGAAAGGGAAACTGACTTAAAATGTGCATAAGCAGCAGTTAAATTCTTGGTTTCTCTCTTCTGCCTTCCACTTCAAGGTAATTATCCATTTCTTATTCTCAAAGGAGAATAAGGGTCTCTTTCCTAAAGAAATGGAAACAGAAATGCTCCACCTTGAAGACATCAGGCACAGCTGAAAGCAAGGATAAGGTGCTAGATGGAAAAAAAAGAGATTAAATCTGTTTACTGAAAAGTGACACAGCCTTACCATCTCTTCCTCACCTAGTTGCCAGAATGCCTACAGATTGGATCCTAACCTCTTGGGCATTGTGGTTGACAGCTTTCCAAAATGCTTCCACATAATCCCTGTCTGCTGGCATTCACACCCTTGCTTTCCCTTGTATGTGGGCTGGACCCAGTAACTCAGTTCTAACAAATAAAATGTGGAAAAAGTGATGGAAAGATTAGGTAACTGAAGACTGTCTCATCTCGCTGACACTCTCTCTTGGCTTCTTGGCCTGCTTACTTTAATGAAGCAACTCATCATGTTGGAGAGACTCCAGTGGCAAAAAACAAGGCAGCTAACATACAGAAAGGAACTGAGGTGCTCAGTCCAACAGGCCACAAGGGACTGAATCCTACCAATAACCTCATAACTGAGCTTGGAAGCAGATCCTTCCCCAGTCAAGTCTTGAGATGACTAGAGCCCTAGCTGCCCCCCTTGATTACAGACTTTGAGGCACCCTGGGACAGAAGAGGCAACAAGCCACACCCAGATCCTGACATGAAGAAACTGTAAGATAAATGCTGTTTCAAGCCATTAACGTTTGGGGATAGTTTTTATGCAGAAATAGATAACTAATAAAGGCATTTTGGAACATCCCTCTATCAAAAACCTGAGTGACCAAGATAAAAGACCTACAGAAATGGACATCTGGTATACTCTCAACAACAACAGAAGCCTGACCACCCTACAGTAAAGTCCACAAGCCAATAAATTCTGCACAGCAATCC